CCCGGTGGGGTGGACACTCCCAGCACACGAGCGAGGCCTCCGAGGCCTCCCGTAATGAAAAGTGACAGTGTTCCCAGTGGTGGGAGGCCACCGGGGAGAGGGCCAAGAGAGTGCTGGTGGTTCTGGAAGGATTTGCATAATTACATTCACCTGAGGGACTCCATTTACCCAACAATGGGCCCCATTGTGGTAAAGCCAGCTGCTGGCCATACTGTGAGAACAATGTGAGCTGTGGCCTTGTTCTCCTGAAACAAATGCTCCGGACCCTGAAAAATGACAATTAGCATTTTGAGTGCTCGTTATTAATAGTACAAATGTTAGCATGTTGTGTCACACTCGTATAACGAGGCGTGTGTTTATGTGTAATACGTGTATTACTTCCCACTGGGGCAGAAGGATGAGATACGATTGACAACACCCCATTTACAGACGCCCAACCTATCCTGTACAGAGCTTCATATCATGAAGTGAGATGATCCTTTACGTACAGGTTTTCTGCTGATGTTTGGAAAAGAATGATGTACCAAAAGCTGCTCCTGGGTAAACGCACTTACTGTTTTGAGTTCCGGTACAGCGTCTTTTGTTCTTGGACTCTGCAAGCTTAACAATGGGTTCGAGAGATGCTAATCAGAATTTACAGAGGAGGCGCTTCGGTGGAAGAGGCCGCAGCGCTGACACGTGGCCACGCTCTGTGGCTGGGGGCGTGTTTACCTAAGACTCCAAACAGACAGAGTGGAGATACCCGGACAGCACAAACACAGTGCCCGGCTAGGTTCCTGGTATTGCCCACATTTACATTCAAAAGGGAGGTGCACGGGGTGGGGGCTGCATGGCTCTAGAAGACGGTTCCTTGTATTGTGCTCATTAATTGTTACATTCTGTCCCTTAAATTTAGAGCACAAGACACATTTTTAAGGGGAGAAAACCCCCTAAAGGAGGGTACCTAGTATTCTCAGCTTTAACTAAGTACACATTTCTAATGTCATTGTGTTAGCACAGCAGCATCCCCAATTGTTTTCTGCATTTTACTGGAAAGTGGGGAAACACTGGAGCGTGTTCCCGGGGAAGGAGCCAGGCTCTTCTTTTGAAACTCGAGCTGGGCCTAGCCTAATGCAAAAACGGGGTGTTTGCTTTAGCAATTTCCTGGCTTTCTGATAAGATATAAAAGCTAGCAGCTAGCAGGATTCCAAAGACGGTAGTCAAATACTAGGTCCACGTGGCCTTGGCTCTGTCCCTGTCTTCCGGGGTGGTGGGGGGTGGGGCGCGCAGGCTAATGAAAGACAAACATGCTGGTTTTTGTTTTCCTTCGACAGCAATCAACGGGAATTACAAATGAAAGACACTCTGCTGTCAAGGAGAGGGCTCCCTCTAAGAAAGTGGTAACACAAAATGACCGGACGCATGACAGGTGCCCTGAGAGCCTGTGTGCCCCAGGAGGCCTGGGGAAGGTCCAGAGTCAGGTGATCGCAGTTCTCCTGATAGAACCAAGCTTTGCCCCACCGTCCCACCATCACAGGGGCAACCAAGATGAGTTTTCTAAAGCAAACCCACCTCCTTGAAACTCTGCTGGCCTCCACAGCCAATGGCAGTGGCCCCGGGGGCCTTAGTGACCCATCAGAGCCATCCGGGCACCTAACCCTACCACAAACCTTGGGAATCAGAATTCTCTAGAGCAGACAGACACAGAAAGGAAATCGGTATTTATATTTCACTTTTCTTTTTTTTTTTAATTTTTTTTAACGTTTATTTATTTATTTTTGAGACATAGAGAGACAGAGCATGAACGGGGGAGGGTCAGAGAGAGAGGGAGACACAGAATCTGAAACAGGCTCCAGGCTCTGAGCTGTCAGCACAGAGCCCGACGCGGGGCTCAAACTCACAGACCTCGAGATCATGACCTGAGCCGAAGTCGGCCGCTCAACCCACTGAGCCACCCAGGTGCCCCTATATTTCACTTTTCAAGTCCTCCAGCTTTTTGGATTCAGAGAAAGAACTACAACCACATGAAAGGACTCCAACTTTCATGATATATTATTATATATTATTTCCAAATAATATATTATTATTTAATATAATAATAGGAGGAATTTAATTTCCCTCCTAAATGCCTCTGAGGGTTCCTGGGTTGAAGGGAAGGAGATTCTGAGATTTTACTTTTTTTTTTTTTTTCCTTTTCTCATTACCTCAACTCAGAGCTCCTGCCTTCAACCTTTCCCTCCAACTGTTTGGTGTCTCCCTATCCCTTCTTTGTTCCGACTGACCCTCCTCCTCCTCCTTTTCCCAGGGCCTCACCACCACCAGCTGATGCTTCATTAGCGGTTAATAAACCTTAACTAACAGCAAGACTAATGACAGTGCAAAATACGAAACGAAGTAGTGTTTAATATCAGACAGCATTGCTCCCCAAATGACGTGGCCTTTCTCATTATTAGAGAAGTAACTGGATGGTTATCACTGTCCTTATTCCCTGACCTTTCCCATGTCCTGCCCCAGAGGGCCTTCTTCCCGTCTTCTCTGGCTTTCTCTTCCTCGGTTTCAAGCTCCTTCCTGTTATCAACGGGATGTTTGTGTTTTCCCTCAAATTCTTACGTTGAAGCCCTAACCCCTAATATGGTGAATATATATTTGGAGGTAAAATCTTGGGAGCTGATTAGGTTTAGATGAGGTCAGGAGAATGAAGCCTCATGGTGGGATTAGTCCCTTACAAGGGCCATGTGAGGACACAGCAAGAAGGCTGCTATCTACACACAGGAAGCAGGCCCTTGCCAGGAACTGAATCCACCAGTACCTTAATCTTAGACTTACCAACCTCCAGAACTGTGAGAGAGAAATGTTTGTTGTTTAAGCCCCCCACTCTGTGCTGATTTGTTGTTTTTTTTTTTTTCAACGTTTATTTATTTTTGGGACAGAGAGAGACAG